TGTAGCCTCTGGCCTCTAACAGGATTGGGACGGGACCCAGAGCTGCTGAGCTCAGACAGACCTCAGTGGCCTTGGGTCCTGGCCCTCCTGGAGAAGAAGGAGAAACGGAGGCAGTCAAGGGCTCTGTCTCCCCACTCACCTGGGCTAGCAACCTCTCCTGTGCTGGACTCAGGTTGTCCACGTGTCCACTCATGTCGTCTATGGTGCTGGGTGCGATTCAGCTCGCTGGTCCTGGGTCTGGGCCCTGCTCTGTGGCTCCCTCCAGGCTGCCAGCTTTTTGCCCAAGTGGCAACTCCACCCACACCTCCCTCTGCCCAGAAGTCCCACCCCTTCCTGTGAGACGTGGAGTCCCACGCTCAGGGTACTGGCAGGGCCCATTCCAGCCTGAGGCATTGGCCCCTGAACAGACTGCTCTAGGTGCAAACCCTCTGATGTCAAATGAGGACAGCGATGCTTGCCTCACAACATTGATGCAGGTGTGTTGTCACACACGTACGGGCTGCTCTCCACCCTGCCTCCCAGTCCCCCACCCCCCCCGCTCCATTCCTATAGTCCAATCAGATGGCTCCTCGAGCCAGGGCAGGCCACTTCTTGTCCCCAACAGAGACCTAGAAGTCACTGTCATTGTGCCCCCAATGTGTCCCAGCCGCCATCTATCACCCAGTGTGTCCAGAACAGCTTGCCCGTGACTCATCACACGTGTGGATGTGTGGCTGCAGGGTTGGGGAAGAGAACTCTCGGGCTCAGACCCAAGTAGGTGAAGGCACAACCCTGAGCTGGCCCACATCTGGCCTGGGGCTGGGGTGAAAGGTGAGGGGGGAGTCTTGGCTCTCCCTGTCCCCAGCCCCACCTGAAAAGCAGAGAACCAGAGCTCAAGATGAGACTGGGTGAGATCTCTCTGTGCACAGGGATTGGCACACCATAGGTGCTTGTCTCAGTCTTGGTCCCCCAGAGGCAGACCCTGCGACAAGGACTCGAGGACAAAAGTTGATTCGGGAGATGATCCTGAGAAACACAAGTAGGGGAGTGAAGAAGTGAGACAGAGAATGGAAGGCAGCTCTGTCAGAAGGGGCACAAAGGAAGTAAAAAGCTCAAGTTCAATGAGGACTCTGGAAAGACGGTGTGGAACACACCACTCAGAGCTTTCCCACCCAATGCGGGAGGGAGTTGGGGTATTAATACGGACAGTTTTGATTGAGGGCTCAATCGTGTTGCCATTTCTGGCCTGCTGTGCATATGACTGAAGGCTGGAGCAAGGCCTTGGGCAGAGAAACAGGTGTTGTAGCTGGGAAGTGGCGCGGGTAGCGGCAGCTTTGACTCTAATTAAGGACCATTTCTTGGGTTCAGAGACAGGCTCTAGGACTGACTAACAGGAAGAGAGACAGAAGGACAGTAAGAGATTGAGAGACAGAGACAGGCAGCCCTGACAGTCATGCCTCTATCTACCTCCAGCTTTAGCCAGCCCCACGTCATGGGTACACGCATATTCAGGGAGGTCTCCAGACGTGGACTTAGAACCCTCCCAGGTGGGGCAGCCTTGCAGAGTGTTAAGTTACTGCTGCACTACACTCTGGCCCCATGGCCCATTTCCGGAAGCTGCTTCAGAGTAATCCCTTCCCTGCTCCAAAGCCTTCTTGGCTCCCTGCTCCCTTCAGGAGGAACTGCAAGCCCCTTAGCCTGGGCCGTGAGGCCTTCTAGGGTCCTCCCAAGTTGACTTCTATTTATCTCCCTTTGGCACAGCCTGGTCCCTGGCCTCCTCTCTGTTACCTTTTCAGATTTTTCTTTCTTTGTGTGTGTGTGTGTGTGTGTGTGTGTGTGTTATTTTTCTTTGTTTCTTTTGTTTTTAATTATTTTATTTTATTTTATTTTTCACATGAGTTTTGCCAGAGAAAGACAGAGAGGGAGGGAGCATGAGAAAGCAAGCCGCCAGGTCTGAGCCTTGAACCACAGTCAGCCATATGGGAATTCCAGCACCTTAACCACCACGCCACCTGCTGGTCCCATTGTTTTGTTTTGTTTTAATATTGATACTTTTTCCCCAGATCTTTCTGGACCTGTTCCCTTTCCTAGAAGATCCTTTCTCGCAATACCCCGCGTCTCAGGCTCTGCCTTTCTCGAGGTTGTTTCACACGCTTCCTTCCGTGAGGCCCTATCTGATCTGTTATATTTGCTGGGAAGTGAATTCCCAACCCCTTGAAATCCCACACCCCACTGTCATCTTCCAGCTGCCCAGCTATTGGGATCATGTCATGGCACCCCCAAAATTCATTGTGTTAAGAGGTTTGAGCATAATGGTATTAAAAAGGTGAAAGTGGGGCCAGCAGGTGGCATGGTGGTTAAAGCACTGGACTCCCAATGGTTAACTGTAGTTCGAGTCCCAGACCGGTAGCTCAAATATCACACTGGGTATGTGTATGTGCCCAAAATCCTGAGAGGAAAATAAAGGACAAGAGGTCGCGGCATGGTCATCCCCCCAGGGAGTAATTTTTCACTTGTCCTCTCTCTGTCTCTCTCCTGCAAGCACATGTGCCCTAAAGCAAAAACCTAAACAAATTAATTTTTTAAAAAAGAGAGAGAGGGTGAAAGCTTGCATCACTCCAGACACTGGCTGAACTCACACGACCTTCTCCGTGTCTGTCCCTGGCATGGCCCCTTCCTAGGACCCACTCAATGATCTCATCCTAACTTCACAACATCTACAAAGTCCTCTCTTCAAAATAAGGTCACAGTCGAAGGGCGCCAGGGGTCAGGAGTGCAACATACTTTTTGGAGTACAATTCAACTCACATCAAAAAGGAACAGTGGGGGCCAGCAGGTGGCATGGAGGTTACAGGGCTGGATACCACACAGACAGCTTTGCGGTTCAAGCCTCAGACCTGGCATCTTGAGATTCTCTACAGGCACGTGTGTGTGTCTGCCCAAAATCCTGAGAGGAGAATGGAGGAGAAAGGACTGTGGCATGGCCTCCACCCCTGGAGAGTGATTTCTCACTTTGTCTCTCTCTCTCTCTCTCTGGCAAGCATATGCACCCTGTAACAAAAACTTAAAAAATTAATAAATAAAAATAAAAAAGAACGAATGGTTCTACTTTCTTACGGCACCTTGGCGCCCTCTGCTGTCTGGGTGCAGCAAAAGCAGTCTGTCTCAAGATTCCTGAGTTTACACCCTGTTCTGTAACTGCCTGGCTCAGGGACCCTGGGGTGGTTGGTCAGCCTGTTTTGGTCACCTGCTTGGTGGAGCAAAGAGATTTGCCCATGTTGCCATGTGGCACAGGGCCGGGCAGAGTGGTGCCTCCAGTACTTGGAAATGAATTATTAAAATATTAATATGTTAATAAATATGTTAATTATTATAATTATGTCAATTATAAAACACAAGGACTCCTCAAAAAGTTCCTGGAGAATACATACTATGAACAGATTATGCATAGATTTCAAAATTTTTTGTTTTGTTTTAGATTTTTGGCAATAGGGTGATTGTGCTTACTGGAGAGACAGAGAGAGAATCAGAGAGAAACAGAGAGGGAAAGTGAGAAATAATCTCCTTGGGGAACTCAGAGCTGGGGGACCAGGAGGTATTTGTGGGTACTAAATATTTTCAGATTAAGTGAGGGCTGGGGAGGAAGCGGCCTCCAAGCCTATGACACGTGTGAAGCGGCCTGGAGTGGGTGGGAGAAGTGGGAGGGGTGGCAGGCACAGGGGGGGGGAGGACAGAAGGCAGAAGAGGGGGGGAGAAGTGGGAGGGGTGGCAGGCACAGGGTGGGGCAGACCAGAAGCCAGAAGAGGGTCAGCAGGGACAGGGTGAACAGGCTCGGGAGATGGAAAAGATTTGGGGTCCCTGGGAGATGTTGAGTCCTGGTACAATCTGATACGCCCTGTGTGACCCCGGGCAAGTTGGTCCCCTTCTTGGAATGTCAGTTCCCACGTCTATACGGCAGGACAGTGGTTAGTTGTTGAGGGGATTAAGGAGATGGTGAGAGAAGCCCATAGCCTGGGCCCAGGGCCTATTGTCAGTGCCCCACCAAGGGCTTCCCACGTCTCTCGCTCTCTCTCTCTTGCTCTCTCACTCAGATTCTCTCCTGATCTAGTCTGCCCAGCCCCTGTTCTGGTCCTACTTGCTGTGTGATGTCGGCCAAGTGATTCTCCCTCTCTGAGCTCCCTTCTTCATCTCTAGCATGAGATGGTAACAGTCCCCACACTGTTCAGTCTTGGCGAAGATGAGTTAAAATGGTGTTCACAAAGCATTGAGCCCAGGATCCAGCCCAGAACCAGTCAGAGGGAGCAACACATTAGAGGATCACACGCACGCACACGCACACTTCAGCGCCTAACAGGTGCACACCAAACCCAGCCACACCCCCGGGTTCTGTGCCCCCAACACCCTCACACAGGCACCCTTGTGCTCTCTTGGGGTCCCCACCCACTCCTCCAGTCACCACCTCCGAGGCCAATTAACAAAAACACAACATCAAATGCCTTTATTTTTGAGCTGTCCCCTATAAGGGGAGGCAGGGAATAGAACTTTCTTTTTTTTTGGACGGAGGGAGGGTTTAATAAAAAATGGTATAATTAGTCAAATACTGATCTCGGTTAGGCCCTCTCTGTGTGTGCCTGGGCCCAGTCCAGGCCAGCACATCCCCGGGATAGCCCCACCACACCCCGGGAAGCCGAGGTGGCACCAGGAGAGGCCAGGGGAGGCCAGGACCAGCGGGTCCCCACTCAGCCCCTCTGCAGTGAGCAGGCAGGTGGGCCGCTGGGCCAAGGTGTGTCACCACCTCAGAAAATCCCGAATGAACTTCCAGAACTTGGTGACCCACAGATTGACACCGAGATCGGTCAGGTACTGGATCTCGGGTGTGAGCATGCGACGGCAGAGCTGGGCGTGCCTCTGCCCGATGCTCTTCTTGAGGTTGTAGCCCAGGATGGACTTGGTGCCCAGCGGCTGCCAGGGCTGCATGGCCGAGTCCTGAATGGCCTCAGCACCCACCGCGTGGCCCCCGTCGATGCAGATGCGGCGCATGCGCTCATTGGCGCGCCGCAGGGTGGCCACCTCGCGGGCCATGCGCTCGCGCCCGAAGGCCTCCACCTTGCTCCAGAAGCTGGCGTTGAAGTGATGGTAGAGGCGGGAATCCAGCATGTTCCAGGCTGTGGCGCGCTGGTACAGCTCCCCCGACAGCCGCGGCACCGGCGAGTCGCGCCGGGCGTTGAGCTTGAAGTAGAGCACGTCCTCCAGCTCCCAGCACAGCAGGTCCCTCAGCAGCACCAGCGACTCGTCGAAGTACTCCTGCAGGAGCACCAGGTGGAAGCGGCGCTCCACCTCCAGGATGTGCTCCTGCACCTGCGGGCTGCCGGGGTCCAGGCCGCTGTCGTAGCCCAGGTCGAAGAAGAGCAGGTTGTGGAGGTAGTGGGCGTTGTAGCCGTTGGGGTCGTAGTAGCGATCGGGGTCCTGCAGGAACTCGGCCAGCTTGTCGCGGCTCGTGAGCTTCCACGTGAGGGGCACCACGGACCCGAAGTAGTGGAAGGAGGACTCGAAGAGGCGGGCGGGGTCGCGGAGCACCGTGATGAAGGTGGCGTTGGGCGGCACCAGGCCGCGCACCTCGTCGTAGTGGAAGCGCATGTGGTTGCAGATGATGTTGAAGCAGGCGCCGGGCCGGTAGTCCTGCACCAGGCTGCGGGCGAAGAAGGCTGGGTAGTCGAAGTCGTTGCGGCCGTTGGGGAAGGCGAACTTGAGCCCGTGTTTCTGGCCGAAGCGGAACAGGATGTTGAGCAGCGTGCTGCTGGCCGTCTTGTGCGTCTTCATGAACACGATGTCACGCCGGGGCTGGCACTCCCCCGCAGAGCTGTTCATCCCGGTCACCACCTCTGGTTCTGCCATGGTGGGGGAGCAGGGCGCTGTGGCCTCCGGGGCCCTGCTGGACAAGAGCAGTGGGGAGGGCCTCAGAGGGGAGCTGGAGCCTCAGGACCCAACAGCACACACAGGCCCTGGTGCCAAGAGAGTGGGACTGTTGGGGACAGAGATGGCAGGAGAGCTGGGAGAGGGGGACCAGATGACCCTGAGTCCAGGCTGGACACCTCACAATTTCCTCTGTGAAGTGAAGATCATAACAGGCCCTATTCCTGGTGTTGGTGTTAGGTCAAAGTTGGCTAGGGAACAGCAGGTGGTAGGGTGGTTAAGGCACTGGACTCCCACATGGCCAACCATGGTTCAAGTCCTGGACAGCTTGAAAAATCATCCCAGGTTGGGACCAGAAAATGATGTAATGTTTATGTCACTGGACTCCCATGTAGTTGACCATGGTTCAAGTCCTGGACCCAGTAGCTTAAAACTCACACCAGGTGTGTGTGCGTGTGCATGCCCAAAATCCCAAGAGGAGAGTGGAGAAGGAATTACAGCATGGTTGTCCACCTTGGGGGGTGATTTCTTACTTTCTATCTCTCTGGCGAGTGCACACACCATATAGCAAAAATCTCTCTCAGGAAAAAAAAGAAAGAAAATCATGCCAGGCGCGTGTGCGTGTGTGCCCAAAATCCCAGGAGGAGAAGGGATGGAGGTGTGGCCATCCTCCTTGGGGGGTGGTTTCTCACTTACCCTTTCCCTGTCTCTCTTTGGCAAGTGCATGTACCTGATGGCGAAAATCTAAAAAATAAATAAGCGGGCTGAGGCCACTGTGGTGTACATCCACCCTGAAGAGTATTGGGTTGGGCCACACAAAATTGCCAAGGAAGACCCAAGTGGTCAGTGGCTGGCAATTCTCTTTAGTTCTACCCAAAACCATCAACTAAGCGCCCGTGTGCCAGGCCTGTGCTGAGGAGGTGGGATGGCCTGATGATTGAGAGTCGGGTCCGGGGATGGAATGACCCAGTTTCCATCCAGGCCTCTGAGCTGGTAGAGGGATCTTGGATAAGACCCCTCCACCGCAGCCCTGTTGGACCCCCAGAGGAAGATAATGTGAACCCACTTCACAGATGAGCATGCTGAGGCCCGGGTTATGGCGAGCTCTGCCCTTGCTGGAATCTGTCTGTACTCCATGGTGCAGGGTGCTGGGTGGCTGACCAGGGGTAGCTTTGATCATCCCACAGGCCCTAGGTCATTACAGGAGCTCTGTGGGGAGTGGCCTGTCCCCCACCCCGAGCTGGACCACTCACGTGGAGGTGAGGCCGGCGTGCAGCGGGGGCACAGCATAGGAGTACAACAGCAGCACGAAGCTGGTGAACAGGGCGCCCAGCATCAGTCCCTTGGCCATGGACTCCCAGCGCTTCTTCAGTGGCGGAGACGGCATTTCAGGCACCTGGGCGGAGCAAGGGAACAGAGTCGGGCACGGGTCAGGAGGCTGGCTCCAGGGAGCTCCCACGGCTGCCCGGGTCTGGCAGCTCTGTGGCCCCATAGCAGGACCCAGACAGGGCACTGAGGCACTGGAAAGACCGACACAAACACGTGGGCAGGGACTGTGACAGGGGTGGTGCGTGAAGATAACTTAAACAGCGCTTAGAGTATGGAGGGGGAGAAGGTGCCTCTGCCTGGTTCCGTTGTCATTGTGAAACCAGCTGGTGAGTACACGAGTGTTCGTTACTTTATTTTTAAATATTCTTTTGGCTTTACAAGGAAATACTTTATTTAATTTTTGCCACAGGGCACATGTAGTCGCCAGAGAGAGGCGGGAGGGGTGGGGGTGTGAGAAAATATCCCTATGGGGGATGGCCACACGGCAATCCTGTTTCTCCTTTTGGGAATTTGGGCACACAAGCATACACGCCTGGCACTGTTTTCAAGCTTCCAGGTCCAGGACACAAACTGCACAGTTGGCCCTGTGAGATCCAACCACCTCAACCGCCATGTTGCTGGCTGGCCTACATTTTATTTCATTGTATTTATTTATTTATTTTTAAAGAATTATTTATTTAATTTTACTTATTCATTTATTTATTTTAATTTGACCAGAGAAAGAGACAGAGAGAAGGAGAGAGAGAAGTGAGAAAGCAAGCCCTCAGGTCTGGGACTCAAACCATGGTTGGCTATGTGGGAATATCCACCACCTTAACCACCACACAACCTGCTGCCCCCCCTACTTTTCATTTTTTAAGTTTACTTTTTTCTTTCTTCCACCAATGAGAGATAGCACCTCCTAACAGGGTCTTCAGCCCGTAGTCCACTCCCAGCTTGAGCCAGCCCTGGATCATGGGCTCCTCGGGTATTCAGGGAGGTCTCCAGACATGATCCCAGAACCTTCCCACATAGGTCAGACTGGCAGAGCACTGTATTGCTGTCTGGCCCCATTAAATACATTTCTTTCTTTTTTCTTTCATTCTTTTTTTTTTTTTTAGAATTATTTAATTTTATTCATCTCTTTATTTTTAATTTGACCAGAGAGAGACAGAATGAGAGAATGAAACAGAGAGAGGGAATATGAGAAAACAAGCCTCCAGTCCAGAATTTGAACCGCAGTCAGCCATGTGGGAGTCCAGCGCCTTAATCATTACTCCACCTGCCAACTCCCCCCCCCCACTTCGAAAGTCAAAAGGAAAAGAAGATTCTCTCCCAGTGTCCTGTACTCCCCTGGCCTGGGCCAGGACTGTCTACACGGGGGCTCCCTGGGGCCTGGATCCTTCCAGGTCCAGCCAGCCCCACCTGTCCCCTAAGCCACTCCTCCCAGCTGCCCAGGGAGGGACAAGGCTCTTCCTCTTCTTACTGACCCTTGTGCCCCTGGGGTCTGAAAGACTGGCAGATGGAGAAACTGAGGCTCCAAGCTGAAGAAGAGGTCTCAGGTCTTGCCAGGCCTCTGCCCACACAGATTTCTCTCTGGTTGCCAGCACATAAGGTTGGCCAGTTAAATTTAAATTTCAGACAAAGCATGAATGATATCATTTTAATAGAAGTCTACTCCAAATATTGTAAGGAACAGACTTATACTCAAAATTACTCAGAATTGGGGGGTGGGGGGTGGGCAGCAGAAGGTGTGGTAGTTAAGTTGCTGGATTTTCACATGGCTGACCATGGTTTGAATCCCGGACCCAGTGACTTGAAAATCACAACAAATATGGGGCCAGCAGGTGGTGTGGTGGACAAGGGTGCTGGATTCCCACATGGCCAACCATGGTTTAAGTCCTGGACATATATATATATATATATACATATATGAATTGACTCTATGACATGGCAGTAATGTGCTGCTCAAGAGAAACCAGATCCCATATGGCAACCACGGTTCAAATCCCCAAGCCCGTTGGCCTATAACATGGCAGGCACATGCGTGAGTCCCCAGTAGCCAACAGACTGGAGGAAGGAGACTGCAGTGTGACCAGACCCTGTGGAGGGTGCTCTTCTCTCTCTCATGCACATGCATGCACCCTGTCATATAAAGAAATGTAAATCCTAAAATCAAATAAAAATAAGAGCTTTTCGAGGTTCAAATCCCCAAGCCCGTTGGCCTATAACATGGCAGGCACATGCGTGAGTCCCCAGTAGCCAACAGACTGGAGGAAGGAGACTGCAGTGTGACCAGACCCTGTGGAGGGTGCTCTTCTCTCTCTCATGCACATGCATGCACCCTGTCATATAAAGAAATGTAAATCCTAAAATCAAATAAAAATAAGAGCTTTTCGATTATCCTGGGTTTTGTTTTTGTTGTTATTTACTTGTTTGGGGGTGTTGCTCATGGGATGTCAGGGGATATGAACTGAAACATGGGCTGTCATGGGGACAGTTTAGGCCAAGGATCTAGAGTCCTGGTGGCCTTCCCACCTTCCCTTTGCTGCAAAGTCAGAACCCAAAACTTTCCACTTCCATGCCAGCTCACGCTGCACTGGGCCCGAGGCCCGAGGTCATGAGAGGTCACACATGCCACCCCGTGACCATATGCATGGCACATCACGCTGTCCCTACGGGGAGAAGCCAGACAGCCTGCCTGGGAATGGAGCCCACACATCATGGAAAAGTTACCCAAGGTACCCTCAAACCCTGCCCCCGGGAAGGGGCACTCCAGGGGCACCCCAACAGCTGGCATCCAGAGTGGCTCATGTCTAGAAGTTCTCTTCACAGGAGAGGCCATGAAGCAGCAATCTGAGAGGAAGAAGGGCTCTGAGAGGGAATCTGCCCTCTTCTGATGATGAGATGCCCTTGTTCGTTCTGCAAGGTGGACGGGGACCCCACCTGGGCAGGTACAGGAGTGTGTCTGGAGGCAGCTACGTCAAAGGGGGGAAGTGAGAGCTCTCTGAATTCTCACTGTTCTAGGGAACACTTACACAAGTATGCCAAGTCGTGTGGTCGGAAATAGAAAAACAATTAGAAACAACCTGAGTGTCCATCAACAGCAAACCATTATATAAATCAAGGCCCATTCCCTGATGGGGTTATCTGTAGATGTTTGTGGGGAAAAAAAATAAGTGAAACTAAATAGACTGGCTCAAAAACATATCATGGTCTGTTTATATAAAAAAAGTTTGGGGGCCAGCAGATGGCATAATGGTTACATTGCTGGACTTCCACACTGTCTGCCACGGTTCGAGTCCTGGACCCAGTGGCTTCAAACTCACGCAAGGCGCATGTGTGTGCTTGACCAAAATCCCAAGAGGAAAATGGAGAAGGGATTGTGACATGACCATCCCCTCTGCGGGATGAATTCTCACTTTCTGTCTCTCTGTCTGGCAAGCATGTATACCCTATAGCAAAAATCTCTAAAAAAAATACCCTATAGCAAAAATGTCTAAAAAAAAAAAAAGAAAGAAAGAAAGAAAGAAAGAAAAAAAAAAAAGTTCAGGCCAGCCTATAGTGCAGTAGTTAAGGTGGCTGAATCCCACGTAGCCTACTGTACGGTTCAAGTCCTGGACCTGGTGCTCCAAAAACACACAGAGCACATGGACACACATGCCCCAAATCATGAAAGGAGAGATGGGGAAGAGAGTGCACTGTGATCATCCCCCATAGGGGAGAGGTGCTTTCTCACTTGCTCTCTGGGTCTTTCTCTGGCAAGTGCATGCATTCCTCTAGCAAATTAAAAAAGAAAAAGTTCTCTGGGCCATCCCCATGGCACAGTGTTTAAGGGAGCTGGATTCCACATGGCTGACTGTGGTTTGAACTCCCAGCAGCTTGAAAAAACTGGGTGCATATTTGTTTATGACCAACATCCTGTCAGGATGGAGAACTGGAGAAGAGATTGTAGCATGACCACACCCCACTGGGGCGTGCTTCCTCACCCCACCCACTTCTCTACCTCTACAGTGCTCTTTGGAGAGCACAGGTGTGCCCTAGCAATTTAAAAAATAAAGTTCTAGGGAACCAGCAGTTAGCGTAATGGCTATGTCGCTGGACTCCCACGTAGTCGACCGCGGTTCGTGTCCCGGACCCGGTGACTTAAAACTCACGCCGGGCGCGTGTGCGTGCGTGCCCAAGATCCTGAGAGGAGAATGGAGGAGAAGGGATTGTGGCGTGACCATCCCCCCTGGGGCCCTGGGGGGTGATTTCTCGCTTTCTGTCTCTATGTCTCTCTCTGTCTGTCTGGCGAGCGCACGCGCCCTACAGTGAAAATCTCTCAAAAAAATAAATAAATAAATAAAATAAAATAAATAAATAAATAAAGTTCTAGAACAGTCTGGTTCCATACCCACTTACACATATAAATAGACACATACAGCCAGGATAAAACAACCCTAGGGCAGAATTTTATTGAGTTGTTGAAAAAATTATGACATGTTTTTGCATAGAAAAACATGCCATGACTTTTCCAATGACCTGATAAATTCTAACAACAGGGCCCAGCCATGGTAGCATGAGCTGGTTCATGCTGCTACTCAGCAGGCTGAGGTCACATTGGAGGCCCAGGTTTGATTCCCAGCCCAACCTGAAATGCTGGGTACATGGCCCATAGTCCTAACAACTCCGGAGGATGAGGCTGGAGGATTGTGAGATCCTGTCACAACATACATACAAAGGGAAAAAAAAATTTCTTTTGAGAGATTTTTGCTATAGGGTGAATGCACTCACTGGAGAGACAGAGAGACAGAAAGTGAGACATCAGCCTTCAGGAGGAATGGCCACTCTGCAATCCCTTCTCCTCCATTCTCCTCTCAGGATTTTGGGCACACTGGCACACGTGCCCGACGTGTTTCAAGCCACTGGGTCCAGGACTTGAACAGCGGTTGGCCACGTGAGAGTCCAGCGACGTAACCATTACAGCATCTACTGGTACCTGAAGAAAAAAAATTAACACTGGTACCCCACATAGCTGGGGAACAGGGATATGTTATACATTTCTGTAAAGGTTGTATTTTTTAAAGGAACATGCATTGCTTTTTA